GAAAAACCGCTGCCCAGGAAAGGGTCCGGACTTCCTGGGGGTCACGTCATGAAAAAATCACGACGTCGGGGGTCCGGGTCCTCCCCCTCCCCAACGTCATGACTTGTGTCAGAGGAGTCGACCCCCAGAGCTCTCGACCCCTTCCCCAGGACCAGCTTTTCCCCCTGAATCGTTTTTGACGGTCCCGAGGCCTGGGAATGGCTCCCAGAGGCCCCCAAAAAGGGAAAAACCTCCCGTGGTGGCTGATTCCAAGACGCGAGGGGGGCTGGGTCCTCCTCCTCCTCCTGCTCCTCCTCCTCCTCCTCCTCTCCTCCTCCTCCCTCCTCCTCCTCCTCCTCCTCCTCCTCCTCCTCCTCCTCCTCCTCCTCCTCTCTCCTCCTCCTCCTCCTTCTCCCCCTCCTCCTCCTCCTTCTCCTCCTCCTCCTCCTCCTCCTCCTCCTCCTCCTCCTCCTCCTCCTCGTTCTCCGTACCCAGCCTTGCCTTTCCGTACCCAGCTCGGCCCCCCGAGCCTCGGCGGGGCGGCCGTGGAATTCCGGCGGCGGCAGCTCGGCGGCCTCGGGCGCCGCGGGCGAGGAGGGCTTGACGACGACGACGACGACGACGACGACGACGACGAGGACGACGACGACGACGACGACGACGACGACGACGGTGACGACGACGACGACGACGGCGGCGGCGACGACGGCAACGACGACGACGACCAGCGAAGACGGCGGCGGCGACTCGGCGGCCTCGGGCGCCGCGGGCGAGGAGGGCTGCTTGACCCACTCCTCCACAGGGTTCGGGCGAAACAGTAACTCGGCGGCGAGCGAGGGGGGGAAGTGAGAAGGAGAAGGCCTTCTCAGAAGGCGGCGGGACTTCTCAGTAGCCCTTGCGCCTTCTGAGAAGTTGTTTCTGTCTTCGGGGACGGCTTAGAAAACTTCTCGGAAGGCCGGGGGACTTCCGAACCTTCTGAGAAGGACTTCTCCTTCTCACTTCCCCCCTCGCTCGCCGCCGAGTAACCGTGTTTTCCGTTCTCGCTCTTGCTTTCGTGCTCCCTCGCTCTGTCGTCGTTCCGCCCCTGCTGCAAAACGGAGCAGCAACGAAAACGGTGCACACGAAGTTTTCAAAACACCACTTCTCTCGAGCATTGAGCGCCATGTGGGACCTGCTCTAGAACAGAAGCAGAACGTAGACGGATCTACCCTTTCTTCGATATTGCACCGTGCCGAACGCAACGGCCGCGTTGTCTTCAGACGCATTCACCCCGAATGTGTCTACACACGCAGCGACACCACTCTGTCTACAGACGCTCGTGGCTAGAAAGTTGGAACGGCATTTGCCATAGGCCCCGGAGATTGGCCCTCTACAACTGGCCAGACGCAAGAGCGACCCTGGGCAAAAGTGCCCTTTTACATGCGCGGCTCGAGGGGGCTGCGGGGAAGCCAACGCCGAGCGCGCGAGCCTCTGCAGGAGAGACCCCCGTGGGCCCGCCCTGCAGGTCAAGCCAGCGCAAGGCCACTCCTTCGCGCAGCCGATATATAGAAGCAGGCAGACTCTGCCCTCCCCCGCTCCTTCAGCTTCTCCTGGCTGCGCAGGCTCGGCAGCGGGCCGACTCGCGCCGCCGCGTCCGCGCGCAGGCCCGACACCCGGACGGTCAGCGAGCCCCCTGAGCATCGCTTGTCGGCGGCGAGCGAGGGGGGGAAATGACAAGGAGAAGGCCTTCTCAGAAGGCACGGAGGTCCCCCGGCCTTCTGAGAAGTGTCCTCTCCCCGAAGACGCAGAAAACGACTTCTCAGAAGGCGCGAGGGCTCCGGAGAAGCCCCGCCGCCTGCTGACAAAGGCCTTCTCCCTCTCACTCCTCCCCCTCGCCCGCCGCCGAGCTTGCCCGATCCCCACCCCCACCCGTGACATGCCCGCGGCGTGGAGAAAAAGATCGCGGCGGAACGGCCTTGGCCGCCTGCGGCCCCTGGGGACCTCCGCCCGGCCCCGGGAACCCGTTCAGACGAGGCGGGCCAGGACGGCAAACGGGCCCTGGGGGACGGGATCGGGCCTTCCGAGTAAGGACTCCCAACTTCGCGCTTCGCGCTGCGCGAAGCGCGAAGTGCGAGTAACTTCGCGCTCTCGCGCCGCCTCCCAGGGGAGAAGAGGAAGACGAGGAGGAATCGGAGCCGAACCGCGAAGCGCGAAACGCGAATAACTTTGCGCCCTCGAGGGCGCCCTTGCCGAGGACCCCGCACTGAAAAAAAATAAAAAACATGGCATCGCACGTCGGTGGCACCAACCTGAGATCTGGTCGGTGCAAGCTTCTGCGGGCCGGGCGCTTTCGCGCCGCACCCCCACGGATCGATCCGGTCGGACGAAGAGCAGCAGACAGATGGAGTCTGGGGCTCGAGTCGTGACTTTCTACGGTGCTGCAATGTGTCGCGTCGGCGGGCCTCAGGGACTGGCATGGCCCTGGCACCACTGGCCGATCCACCCCGCTGGATGGCGGTATAGGCTGCTCCCTCCGGGCTTCGAGCGGCCCATCCCCAGGCCCATCCCCAACAGGGGAGGTGGCATGGTGAGGCCGAGGTACTATGAGGTCGGGCATGTCCTCCTACAGGGGGATTTTGGGTAATAAATATCAAATTCACAAAAAAATAAAATAAAAAAACGTCCCCTGACGATTTTTGACTATGTCTCAATTTTCCTCATGTAGCGGGACACGCCCGACTTCAGGGCACTATTGGCCTGGTGGAGATGGGGATACGTTGAACGAGACCAGCCCCCGCCCGCATCCAGCCGCAGCTCCTCCGTGATCACGCCCCGGTCAGAGACCCGGTCTGGCGCCAGCCGCAGGAGGGCCGTGCCGAGCAGGTCGTGGGGCTGCGGCCACGCGCTCGCGTCCCACGCCTCGAGCCGCAGCACGTCGCCCGGCCCGGCGCCCAGCAGGACGTGCTGCGAGTTCCACTCGGGATCGGCGCTGTTGCTCACCACGTGGGTCTTGACGAACGAGAAGCCGATCTCCGCTCTGCTCTGAGCGCGCGGCCCCTCGACCGTGCACTTGCAGTAGACGTCCCCGCCCCTGAGCCCCGAGGCCTGCACCATGGTGACCACGACGCCCTCCCCGGCGCAGTGCCGCGGGGTGCCGCCACTGGCGCCGTCCGCCTGCCCCAGCTTCTCCTCGCTGGTCTGGCGCGAGACCCGCAGCGTGGGCGCCCGCACGGCGCTCGTGTCGAGGGCCTCGAGGATCCTCATGATCTCGGCCTCGCTGCTGCCTAGGTCCTGGCTCTTCGAGAGGAAGTCCCCCTCGTGCATCCACGTGTAGAAGTCGTACCCTGTCAGGGAGCCCACGAAGGACGTACGCGCCCAGGCATGTACATGAACACGGCCCCCCCGCCCCCCGATCCGCGAGACGAGCCGCGTGATACGAACATTTGCGCAATGCGTACTTTCGAAACCAACGCGGACTCATGCACGTGTACGTCCTTCTGTCGCTCCTGACCTGTCAGGTTCGGGCTCTCGCACTGGAGGCCGAAGACCTCCATTGCGGGGGCCGACGCGGCGTCCCGCGGGGGCAGCGGCAGGCAGCAGGTCTCCGGGGGCGTCTCGACCCTGGCGAAGTGGACGGCGCGCATGTAGCGGGTGCGCAGGTGAAATGTCGGCGAGTCCTTGTACTCCACCGTCCGCTCCGCCACGCGCGTGAAGTGCGTGGAGCCCACCAGCGGGTAGAGCCGCGCCAGCAGCTGCTCCACGGCCCCGTTTGAGCTTCCGTCCTTGCCGTGCTTGGCTCCAGGAAGCTGGCACACCGGCACCAGCTCCCCGCTGAGCTGTTTGCCGACGTGCACCAGGATCCTGGGAGAGCAAAAAACGGTACCCGCAACACGCCGCCATGGGGAGCCCATCACCGTGTTACCGTTGAGAAGACGCCTTGCCTCAGGGCAACCACAAGGGAGCAACACGCTGACGGTCTTACCCCATCCCTGGGTGCGTGGGTGAAGTGGGGCTCCGTGGCCTGGATTCTGCTCGTTTGCTGTTGCGTGCTGAGTTCTCACTGGATGCCCCCATGCACGGTGCACACTGTGTTTTTTCGATTGAAGTGGCCCTCGTGAGGCTCAACAACCATGCTTTTTCCCCACATCCAAAGTGGGGTTCTTGTTTTCGTCTGGACACCCCGCGCAGTCCTCACCTCACCTCACCCCCCTCTCTCGCACACACTCACACATCATCATCATCATCATCATCATCATCATCATCATCATCATCATCATCATCATCATCATCATCATCATCATCATCATCATCATCATCAGCAGCAGCAGCAGCAGCAGCAGCATCAGCATCAGCATCATCATCATCATCATCATCATCATCATCATCATCATCATCATCATCATCATCATCATCATCATCATAAGCATCATCATCAGCATCGTCATCATCATCATAGTCATCAGCATCATGCTCATGATCATGATCATCATCATCATCATCATCATCATGCTCATCATCATGCGCATGATCATCATCATCGTCTCCATCGTCATCACTCAGCATCATCATCATCACGACACTCAGTCATCGTCATCGCCATCACGCCACAATCGTCACCGTCGTCATCATCATCGCATACACTTGACACTCACACACACACACACTCGTCTTGATGAAGTCTCAGGCGGGAGCCTCGTCTGCGAGTGACTTGCGCGGAAGTCTCAGGCGGGAGCCCGCTCCCTTTGGGGCCCGCAGGTCACGTTGGTAATCCGAGGGGGCCGCTCGATTCCGGTAACCGTCGTCACTTCCGGGCTTCCTGAGGCCCGAGTATGGGGGAAGCATCAGGCGGGAGCCTCGTCCGTGAGTGCCATCGCGAGGAAGTCTCGGGCGGGAGCCCGCTCCCTTTGGGGCCCGCAGGTCACGTCACTACTCTGAGGGGGCCATTCGACTTTTGTATCTGTCGTCACTTTGGGGCTTCTGAGGCCTGAATTTGGGGGAGGTATCAGGCAGGAGCCTCGTCTGCAGGTGACTTGCGAGGAGGT